ATATATTTAAAAATTAATTGGCCAACCAAACGATATCCCTTTTTAAAACATTTTTAATTTCTCTCGCGTGTATTTTTTTAATTTAAGAACAAAAAAAAAGTTCTTAAAATTGAATCGTATTATTAAACATTAAAGAGACTACTTTTAAACGTTATACACAGTTTTAAAGTATCGAATCGTTTTACACACGGTTTCGTAAAAAGCCACCGCAAATTTCCTTTCGAAATTCTAAAACTTTCGAGGATTGTAAACTCTTGTGTAATCAAGAGAGCTTTTCTTTTCTAAAGCTTTTTCGCGGGAGCGGAGCGGAGAGAGAAAGAGAGATTTTCATGGATTTTCTTTGGATAAAAAGGTCTACCGAGTTTTGGAATAATCTTAGCGAATTTTTTCGATTGTAACCATTTTTCGACAAAAAAAAAAAGCTCTCTTTCGAGATTTCTTTTTATCATTTTATCCTTGATTTCTTTTTCTTTTTCTTTTACATATACAATCAAATATATATATATATTCTTATTTTACGAGTCGCGTGAAAAGAAAAAGAAGAAAAAAAATAGAATTGAAAGCATTGAAAATTCGATATTTTTGAAACGTATCAATAATATCATTCTCAAATAATCGAAAACTTTGATTTACTTGTTGACATTCTTATAAACGTGAGAGTACTTTTAAATTGTGCAAATTGAAAAATAGCAAATAATAATACACCAAGAAACATTTCGTAAAAGTTACAACGAAATTTTGTTCTTCAAGCAACTTTATATGTTTTTTTCCTCCCCTTCGGAAACTTTCTGATTCTAAACTCTCTTTGCGTAATCAGGAGACCCTTTTTTTTTTTTTTTATGCAGCTTTAACGGAGAAAGCTTTCATCGAAGATTAAGTTTATCGAATTTAGAATAAACTGTTATAGCTTTCTTTCTTATTCTTTTTCCTTTCCCTTCAAACAGTTATCCAACCCTTCTTTGACTTTTTTCTTTTCTTTTTTTCTTTTTATTATATATCATATTATAAGTTATTGCAAATATATTGCATAGTGATAGATTATTATTATTATTAACGAAGAAAGATAAATTACATTTTATTATGAAACAAAAATAAAAACAATTTATTATAAGGACCGTTTCAAAAATTATTTTTATCATAAAATAAATATATACAATATAATAATATAATAAAACCGCAATTGAAAATTGTATTGGCAATAATTATCACGCGAATAAATTTCGTATAAACATTTATAACGTACAAGTAAACGCAAACGAACGGGAAGAGAAAGGGCTTGTGTGATAAAAAAAAAAAAAAACAAAAAAATAGAAAGAATAAAAAAAACGTGGTGTAGCATACTTAAGTAATGCGATGCGTTATCATTAATAGGAGAAACTCGGCTTGCAGATTGTGCGGTATGCGAAGCAATTATCGATGGTAAACCATTCTATAGGGCGCAAACGCGAACGCAAACGCAACATGGGGAAACTTCGCTTTAACGTTGGAAAACACCATTTGCATTTCTCGACGATATTCATGAGATTAGACCAAAGTTTCCTATTTCTCTCTCTCTCTCTCTCTCTCTCTCTCTCTCTCTCTCTCTCTTTCTCTCTTTCACTCTCTTACGTAAATATATATTCACGTAAGCATGAACGTATATACAATTATCTTATTTTATGTACATCAAAGTAGGTATAATTAACACAACTTGTTATAGATATATATATATATTGATACATCATTACAATTAGAAAAAGAAACGATGATGATGATGATGATGATGATGATGATGATAATAATGATCGATAGAAATTGATCGTACGATTTTGTTTTTTTTCTTTGACAAATTTGACAAACACAAATTTCGATTTTATTCTTTTTCAAATAAAAATTATCAAATTTATACATCGAAAAAAAAAAAAAAAAAAAAAAAAAAAAAAACATAATTATGTTATAAAATATTTTTGATTTCATTTTCAAATAACGAATGGACGTGTAATTTTTACAAAAATAATACAAAAAATTCCGATCTCGTAGATCTACACACACGTCTGGTATAAAAATAATTATTTATACAATTGATTTGTGAATAATTATTAATTATAAAAAATAATAATTGAGACTTTTTCATTTTAATTTCATTTCTATCACAATATTTGAAATGTTACGATACATATCCAGAAAAATGTTCTTTTCTAAATATAAATTAATCTAAGAGAAATAATTTTCTCAACCAACCAACAAACCAACGTAAATTTTAATTCTACGAATAAAATGTGATGTTTATTCATTGATCGTACAAAATCGTTTTATAAAACGTGTCAGGAAATATCGTAAACGATCGGAAAAAAAAAAAAAAATAAAATCGATGATGATCCTTAAGAGCGAGGGGGGAGAGAAAAAGAAAGAAAGGATTTACTATAGTCCATCGAAGTGTAAAGGATTTATGAAAGAACTTCGTTTAGTTCTTCAAGGCTCAAGTGGTCTTCTTCTTCATCTTCTTCTTCTTCTTCTCGATTACCGGTTGAAAAGATAGAAAGAAAATGAAGTGGAGGAAGATGTAGTGTGGAAAAAAAAAAATAAAAAGAAGAAAAAGTATAAGAAGAAGAAGAAGAAGAAGAAGAGAAGGAGGTAAGAAGATGTAAGAAGTAGAGAAAAAAACGGAAAGAATAGTTGAAGGAAGGAAGGAAGGAAGGAAGGAAGGAAGGAAGGAAGATTTTTCGAAAGATAATACGGTAAACTCTCAATTTCCCGACGTCGTACCCAGAAGATCTCTCTTATTTTCTTTTTTTTTCTCTTCTCCATTTTTTTTCCTTTCCTTTCCACCCCTTTCCCCCTGTTTTTTTTTTCTTTCTGTGCACTCGATATCTGGAATTTATCCAGGACGTTGCTTCCTTCCCTCTAGCTATCCTCCGTTTCCTTCTTTCGCAACTTCCTAGTTTTCTCTTTTATACTGAAAAGCATAGGTATATATATATATATAGGGTGTCTAATATGTTTTCCTATTGTTTTTTAATCGATGCTATTGAAAGATTAGAAATGTTAACAAAGTGGATGTTTTTTTTTATTGCAACGTGGAAAACTAATCTCGTCATCGATAAAATTATTTCTTCTTTTTATTTCTTTTTTTTACGAGGTATTAGATCCAAGGTTGTTTATTATCGATGTGTTTATTTTTTATTTCCATTTCAAGTGGAATACCCTTATATACAATTTTTTGATCGAACAAATAATAAATAAAAATGATCTTAGTAATATCGTATCATAGTTGAGAAAGAGAAAGACACCCTGTATATATAAATATATAAGTTATAGGTTCAACGATTTTCATTCCTTTGGTTTCCCCATAAAGATTCGATTTCTTTTCGATTTCAATGAAAAATACTTTCAAACTAGATTTCAAACGTTTCTCTTCCCATCATCAAATCTTACCCCCATTTTATATTTTGTTTTATTTTCACACAAACGAGTATATATAATTATACGAACATTTATTTTTTTTTTATATATATATATATATATCCTACGCTTTATTTTTTCCATCAAATATTTCGTCTAAAAAGTTATCCCCTTTTTTTTTTAAATGACTTTGAAAGAATCCAATATAAATAAAAAGCAAAAAACAAAAAAGATACACGTCACACGATGTTTTTATTTCGTCTGTAAAATCAAATCATTTTTATTCGAACGTATTCTACGAGATAAAAATGTATCAAAGTTATTATATCGAACACCCGGTATACAACAACACACATACACACACACACATATATATATTGGATATAAAGTGGATAGAGATATTATAGGAGAAGACTTTTAAGAGAATGTTCGCGTTTAAAAGAGTAATCCAAATTTGATACGATGCGATTCCTAAGGTAACCGTCATTGTTAATCATGGTCTTAAGAGGAGTAAGAAGTTAATTAACGTTCTTAAGTCACGAAAGAAGGTACTCGAACGACACAAACAAAACTGATTTTGTACGAATTTTCTATCTCTTTCTCTCTTTCTATTTATCTATCTATCTATTTCTAACTCTATCT